CTGCCTCAGTGCAGTCTACAGCTATTTTAGTGCTGCTTGTCCTTTAAGAAACCGAAGTTCAGGCCTGCATTCCACACTTAGCCGGCAGGAAGTCCGATCTACCGTTGCCTATCCTTGCGCAAGGGAATTTTTTGACTTGCCGTAACTGTAAGTGCAACCATATAATGCAACTTATTTTTATTGATTGTGAAAGCTGATGTGCAGTAGAACAAGTGGGGAAAGTATGAAAAATATGAAAAATGGTTTTTTAATCGTTGTCAGATATTTCTCTTGCGTGCTCTTTTCTTGAAGTTAGCGCGATTATATGTTTTTATTGAAGTGCCATGAATATTAGCTTTGGAAGTTTTATAAGTAAGAATGTTCAGAAGCAATACGGAATTTTCACTGCTCTTCCATTGACGCTTTGTGAAATAAAGGCCTGCAAACTAAGCACAAAAACATTTTTAGGTCTAATTTGAAAATTTGTATAAAAATTAACACTGCACAGACAATGTAAATATAATTGAACGTAAGCGTCATTATGCATATATGTAGCCAAATGAATTTGAGGCACGTAGCTTTATTGCGTTTTGTGTAATTCATCATGAAATTCGAAAAAAAAGCAGCAGAGCAGGTAAGCGTGGCACTCCACCTCTTCATCTTTATTGATTTACTGTGCCACGAAAAAAAGTTTGTACAGCAAAACTAATTGCTTATCTCTTCTTTCCACTGATCAGGTAACAATATATGAAATTTTGACAGAAATTTAAGAGGTCGACCAGCCATGCTTTGTTCGATCTTGCGTCTAATCGCCCACGACTGCCCTTTTGAGTCGGTTGCACCATTGCGATTCCCTGTGCTCAGTTTTATAGGACTTTCACTTTCGCCGACGTTTTCACCGGATGATAACACCGTCGTATCGTAAGTTCAATCACCTTGCATTAATTTTTTGTAGGTCCCTTTGAAAGCATAATAACGCACGCAAAAAATATGCCCACTGCAACCGGGTATGTTTCCTGCAGATATGGTTTCATTTCGGATAATATCTGTGCCTTGATCACGCATGCTTGTTTTTTGATTCGAATGTCACTTCGGTTGTTTTGCTAGCTTGCTCGGCTTTCGTCAAATTATACAATACGCATTAAGATCGAACATGTTTGTGGTTGCACCGAGATTTGCCCCTGGTAATCGCGTCTGATTTTGCGAAACCATCGAAAAATTTATTGCCGTCTTGGTTCTTTCTATTTCGGGTAGAGTTCAAAGTGGCAGCTGTACATCGCGCGCGGCTCAGGCGCATGCAAGGATTAACTGTTTTAGGCGCGAAAACGCTGATATCATTGGAAGGCACGCCGTGGTATGAGACTCCAGGTTTATTTCGGCCACCTGGGTTTTTTTACCATGCACCTAGATCTATTCAATGTGTAAGGCACGACAACGATGACAACGGACATAATAGTGCGCATACACCGAGCGCCACTTCTGTTTACATTGAGTGTCATTCCGCCTTGCGCTTCAAATAAGATAAACCAACACGCCCTCTCTGCCATTATAACACCCATGTCTAAGCACACTGGTGTTTCTACATTTCGCTCTCATGGAAATGCAACTGAGGCATACGAGAATCTATCACCTCAACACCTCATCTTGCTAGCTAATCGGTGGGTGTTGCTTGCAAAATCTATACGTATGAATTCTCCGCGCCGAAACGCAGCCTAAAACACTTGAAGGACCCACGGTACGGTATTTTAAAGGTGTATAAAGCTTAAAATTCCCGCCTCTGTTGGACTACAAATGTTTGTCTAGGAAAGCCAGTGAGCTATGTCAAAATGAACAATGGTGGCCTATTTCATGTACCTTGAGTTTTCAAACACGCTTTTTTTTACAGCGAAAGCTGCTATGGTATCACCATTCTGGTCTCGCGCCGCGCCATAGTTCTCCACCGCCGCCGTGGTGTCCGTAACCACTGTGGCACGAAATAAGAAAAAAAAAAACCTAGCACCAATGACACAGTGGGGCTCGAAGCCGGGTCCGCTGGCTGCCAGCCCAGTATTCCACTACCTAGCCATGCCAGTGTTTGGAAATTATTGGCAAACTTGCCTTAGGAAGGATTGATATCGGGAAAGCAATCTCGTTAACACGACTTACAAAGCGTTTTAAAAAAGCGAAAGAACAACCGCAGTCGTCGCACAATACGAATATCGTAACGAGTGGGGCGTCTAATGCACCAACCCATTAAAGCTTGTTCTTGTTCTACTGTTAACTGTGGCGCATACCCACTTCAAGCATGATTTCTCATCGTCGTCAGCCACTGCATACACAATTGGCACAAAATTGCTTGCAAGTGTTTAGCGGATACCACGCTTCTCAGAAAAATGACAAAAAATAGAATAGCGAATGCCATCTACTAGTAATTTTTTATAATTAATGCCGTAGCTGGTATAAAGCAAGCGTGCTTGCAGCAGTTACCCAATTAATGTTTAAAAGAGGTTCTGAAATGCCGCTCTTCTAGCTTTCGCTCCGACTGTGCGGCGCCCTTCACGCAGGCTTGGCATTTTTTTTTTTCCATGTGAGCCCAGCCATCGCGTTTTTTTCCTTGTAACGGTTTGTAATACTGTGCACAGCAGAAAATTCTTCAAAGTGACCGTGGAAGTGTGGGTGGTCTGCCATAATCCACTCTTGCTCCTCTCCCTGCTTTCATGGGAAACAGTAGAACTTGACGGCCATTTTTCGGCTCTTCGTCATTTTTAAACTTTTGTGGCAGCTCACGAGGCAGCGTGCCTGCTTTCGAGGATGATGAAGGAGCGGCGTCAATAGCGTGCAATAAACGCCCAATGTTTTCCGTGCGCGCAATTGAAAAAGCGAGCGGCCCGTCCGAGCGACCGGAGATTTGCCCTCAGCGAACAGCGCTGCGCAAACTTGAGCCTGCGTTTTCTCTATTTCGCCGAAATGTGTCCGCCGGGATCGCTACCTTCGGGTCCGCAGCTGAGCTCCGTAGCCATTGATACAACGTGGCGCCTTCTTGACTGTTTGAATCTTTTCTGTATTAATCAGAACAGACAGTAATGCCAAACAGGATGCTATTAGAAATATCAAACTTAATTCTAATGGAAGTGTGAAGAAATAAAAGTGGATGAAAAGATAACTTGCCGATGGAAGGCACTGAACCAGCGCCCTTTGAATAACGTGTCCGATGATCTACCACTGAGCGACAGTGCGTTCATCCCTCCATCCACTCTACGGGATATATATGTGCATTTAAATGTGTAAGCGTCAATCAGCGCCGCCAATAGTCATTGCGGCTATTGTGGAATTCGTTTTTCCGGTTAGCGTCACATAAAAGCTTGCTGCTGACCAATGATCCCTCTACCTGAAGGAAGTGTACACTTAAATACTCGTGTTCTTTCGTTATACATACTATTAACGAGAAGTAAGAGATAATACAGGCAAGGAAAGTATAGGGGATGCTAGCAGAATTGATTGAAACGTAAATGTGAAGAAAAAAAAGTTGATTAAAAGATAACTTGCTGGAGACAGGGACCGAACTTACGATCTTCGAATAAAGCGTCCGATGCTCTGAGCTACGATGGCGGTCATCCCTCCATCCACTTTACAGCGTGTATATGTGGTGTTTTCTTCTTTTTTAAAGGAGCGAAATTCGCTTTAACCAAGAACTGAGAAAAACACTTTTTTTTCTACTGATAATGTGGTCGGGCCTGCACCAACAAATTTTCGCTAGTGTGTTCCGAAGTGCCTGAAATTCAAATTGTGGTTAAAATCAATATAGCCTAATTTCTATTTTTTTTGAATTGTTGCGGTAAAACGGATGTTTTCGGGATAGTGAAAGTGTACTTTGTTCATACGCGAGAAATCGTTTTGCTTTTTAGTGTCCCTTTCAATGCGTCAAAGGTAAAAAAAAAAGACAGACGTTATGATCCCAGGTTAATCAATGCGATATAACTACGCAGCTGTTATATCGCAATGCATCAGCGTTGGCGGAAAGTGGATCAAGCAATAAATGCGTAAATAGTTCGTGCTTTTTATTCGTGGCCTACCTAAGTGTCTGTAATATATGCCATTTAATTATGCCACCTATAGATTAGGCCGCACTGAAACGCGTCATAGGAATGCGGCAAGTTGCGTATTTCTAAAAGTCGACTTCTTGGGTTATATTCCAGATGTTTGGTCAAGTAAGGTAATGATTTCTCCTATTTACAAATAAATATACCTGTGAATGCTCAGTTGGTTGCAGAGCTTGTGGAGCTTCTTCGGAAAACAAGTAATTACTTCGATTCTCGAATGTTCTCTCTTTTTTATTGCTCAGAGGACACAATGTGAAAAAGACGATAAGCACTGATTCTAGCGCGCTAAATTTTGATTGCTGCTGCTGCCTTCTTCTTTTTCGAAAGCCGCTTGAAGCGAAAGAGGCTTCGCACAAAAACAGCTCAACAAAGCAGACGACCAGTAAAAGAGGAGACAGATGGCAGCACTGACTGAAACAAGGTTTTAGCAAAGAAGGAGCGATGCAAGTAAAAAAAAAACACAAAAACACAACATGGCCAACATTCATTATCATTACAGTGTGCCATGATCATCACGTGCGAGAACATGCTGGGGAATAAAATTAAGTTTTCTGCGATAAAGCAATGAAAGGCCTACTGACACACGCTGCCTAGCCTAGCCATTTCATGGCAAATGCCGCGTTCACATGAGGCTTTTCAAGTCGCATAAAAAAGGGGGGCCGCGTGAATGATTGTGTAACGTCAATCACGTGCCCTTGAGTAACGCCGAAAGCAGCGCGGCCGGCTCGTGGACGTTGGGCAACCTTGGCTTCCCGATGGCTTCGTAAACAGAGCCGCGTCGTCGGCACACCTGTCGCCGGCAGCGTGCGGACGGGAAGCAACGATGCAGGTCGGTGAACCGGTTTTTCTCATCCTCTGCGGTTTCGCTCAAATCACGGCTCGCTGCTCGGCTGCATTCTCTGGTTGATTCATTACCAGACTGCCCCATGACCGGGAAATCTC